TTAAAATTTGTTAGACATATACAGAAACACAGATACCGACACACACGCATACAGTCCTATGCAAAAGTCTTAGGTATTCAAAGAAAAATGATGTTAGTTGGTGTAAAACTATTATGCCTGTCAAAGAGTGTAAGCTTAGCCATTTCAGAACCTCTCCTAAGTCACCTTATAATTGGCGGCTGCCACCATATACGTCCATGTATGTTTTTACTTCAAAAGCACACCTTGTATGGCCAATCAATGCCTCTCTGACATTTTAAAACAAGCTTAATCAATTATCTAAGTGAGCCGGTGGTGAAATTTAGTAAAAACATGGAATGGCTGGGGTACCCCGGAGGAGAGGTTTGGGAACTGAAGCGGTGTTCATCTAGCCGTCCAACCAGATATCAGTCACTTTTTGGAGAATGGAAGAAATTCTTGTTAGTTTTATTGTGTTACTGTTAATTTGCATGTATTATAATATTAAATTGTGTTTTTGTTCTGAGCAAATATACACTTGCTACCCAGATAAATAGCTTTAAACATTTAAGCTCCATTGGCTGTCTAATATGCACACACAGGTTGAGCTTATACAAATTTGTGTTATTACAGTTATTTTTTCTTTATTTTTTTCTTTCTCTGCTTTAAATGCATTTTTTCTGCCCTCCCTTAAACATATTTGTCGACACCCACAGTCTTAAGTATAGCTCATTTATTCATCTTACTGTACCATTACAGCAAGTCACTGCTTGACCTTTGAGCATGCCCAAGGGCGGAGATTTGGGTATGGGCGGTGGGTTCATGTCTCTACCAATACTGCAGGAGTACCATGTGTTCAGGGGGGTTCATGTCTCTACCAATACTGCAGGAGTACCATGTGTTTAGGGGGTGAGCTTGGGGCTGATTTGGTCCCTAGCAGTGTTGAAATCAAACCTTTTCCCTTGAGCATGTCTAGTTTTAAAGTGTACACCCATATTTCACATCCACATAAAATGCAAATCGACATGCTTTGTGGCAAAATATAGCAAATAGGCAATAGGGTAAAGCCACACCTGCAATTAAAACTAATATCTGCACACATATGCTACATGACATTCAATCATTTAAGTTTTATTTAGAAATCTATATGAATGCAGAAAAATATTTTCTGCCATTATCTGCAATTCGTTATTGAAGAGTGTGAGTTAGGACAGGGGACCAAGCGTATGTGAGATGGTATAGAGTGTGACCTCACAAAGGCTGGGTTCCCACAAGTACCAGGGTCAAGTCTTATCTCAGGGAGATAGATAATCCCCCAGTAGCCTTTCGCCGCAGAACTCTTTCAGTCTGGCCAGTTCTGAGCCCGTTTCAAACTTGGATGTTTCAAGGCAATTTAAGTTTCTGCAAAAAGAAACACATGAATCACTTAAAATAAAGAAAGAATTCAATATAACTCCTCAGTGCAAGACGCTGGTGTGCACCTATTAAAATTTCATTGTGCCTCCACACCTGCAGTGCTTGCGAAAAGGTAACCATCTCAACGCAGACACATTGCAAGTCTTTATTATGAGCAAAAACATGCACACAGAGAGGCGTTTTCTCAGATTGTTGCTTAACAGGTTGGACCATTGGTGCAGTGATGTCAGTGCTCAGTCAATCAGGCAGATCAACAATAATGCCAGGCCTTTGAGGTAATCCATTTAACCATGTCAAACATGCAAGCACAAATGCAGCACGTAGAAACGTACACCAACCAGAAATGGTTCCATTTGCTGCTTTTTTTTCTCAAGGATATACCTGGCAACTTCCATTCTAGAGAAAGATTTAAACAGGCTAGGTCACAGCAAGGTCATGGAAGTGGAGTATGTCTGCATTTGCTGAGCGGGTAGTGATGGTCACATGACTCAGACTGTGTTTCAGGGAAGAGATGCTAAGCTTTCAGCATCTGAAGTAGCCTGGCAAGAGTCAGACTGCCTAAGTGCCACCTGCTTGAAAGGAAGAGAATCCCTTTCCCTGCTTTATTTATGGGACCACTTGTAATGGAAAAGAAACGTGTTGCTTACATGCCACGCAGAACTGCTCGTATAATGCTAGTAAGACCTGTACACTTTCAAAATCATTTTAGGATGGATCTGTATCTGTTAGCTACATTTTAGTCTCAGTATCAGTCCTACTCATAGTTCAGAGCTCTTCCAATAATCCCCAGTCTCCCGCAGAACGTCCCCTCAAAGTCCTAAATTGGCATTGGCTATCTGATCTACACTGTTTCATGCATGAGGCCTGCTGATTACTTATATTTATATTAGTACCTGAACATACTCCATGTATATATATTTATATATTAACCACCTCATCTCTCGAAGTTTGGCACCAGCCACCAAAGCAAATTCCTTGTATGTGTGAACGTACTTGGCAATAAACTCGATTCTGATTCTGATTCTGACAGTCGGCGTCACTCTAGTAATATCAGAAAATGGCACCAACGGGTGTCCCAGTTATGTGCTGTGCCAGGAGGGGCAAAGCTACTTATTTTTAAAAGGAGGAAGAGGGGGTAACGGGGAGCTGAGCTGCTATTTGAGATTTTAAATGATTAAAAACCATGTCAGTGAGAGCAGTGAGGATGCAATAATCTTTTTTTCTTCCACAAAGGTGGGCAGGCCTAATCCTGGCCGCCGTTGTCAGAGCTGCATTGTGAATTGTGTGTTGGAACTTCAGCAAGCCTAGTGCTGCTCTGTCCCTCTCTGTGAACAGGGCAATATGTCCAGCGGGGCCTACAACGATCATCCCGCTGTGATGGTATTAGGCCGCCCCTACGGCCTGCCGCGGGAGTCCGGTGTAGCCGCCCCTACGGCCTGCTTCTTATGGTTTCTGCGCTTGCACAAGAGCACATAACCTGTTCTACCACTTTTTTTTTGTGTGTGGAATTATCATTAAAACTTTATTATTAAATCTTATAAGCAGGATGACCAGAAATATAGAAAAAGAAAGCCATATTTTTGTGACCTGCCAAAAATATTTTTTCAATATTTTATGCCATTGAAAGGCAGAGTCGAATAATATTTTAAAACAAATTGTATCGCTGACCTTGGCAAGATGAGAGGTTATTTTAAACAGTTTGAACCTTTTAATATAGCTTTCCAGTATTGTAATGCATTACTTATCATAGCACATAAAAAAGTTAAGAAATAAATATTCAAGTGTAAAAACGAACTTTACATGTTAATAGCATTTATGTTAAACTACGTTTAATTTTGATTGTAAGTACAATTTTATGCAAAATATTTGATTACTAAACAAATTTATGGATTAAAATACAAAAATATCATTTGAATTTACCTAAAATGACAGTGGTATTCACCCATAAGCTGGGCTTTTATGAAAATGTCTGTAACATGTGTGTCATCATTTTACCTGTTTTATAAGGCCATGAATGATGGAGAAGCATTTGATTTATGTCATATGCTTCATGAAGAATATCAAATATAAACATATATTTAATACATTTCAATTTTACCTTGCTTCATTCTTAATTTCATTTATGCATTCCTTTGGAAACTTACTTCACACAAATTTCAGAAAATTAGACTAAAGACATATTCGACACCTTGATGTTTACTTTGTATATAACGCATCACCTTTCATTATATACTTAATAAGAATGATAGCATATAAAAGTCCCAGCACGCGCGGTCTCCTATGTTACCGAAAACTCAGAAACTGGCTACATTATTTTCTCGAACTAAAGGTTGGATATATAACTTTACGCCGAGTGTTTACACGACTTGGCCGTGGGTCATTGTGTTAAATGGTTATGGTTAATGCAGTCGTAATATTCAACGCCTCCTTATGATTTAAGGAGTGCAACATGAATATTAAGCAAAATTGTGAAAAAGGCCAAACCCACACAAGAAAAGAAACTCATATTGCAGGAAAAAGGCAAATACCTGACTGTACCTGAATCAACCTCAACCTAACAAGTGTGGGCGGCGAAGAGAGATTAACTTCATGCTTTTTAATTGCTTTGTATCCTGTGGCGATATACAACATTTAAACTTCAACACTGAACTTACCCATACCCCTTCCACCAGACTGCTATTATATATATGATTTTATTTCACCAAACTGCTTGCATTTTGCTGATATTAACATGTATTCAATGTAACAGCGTAAAAGACAGATCTCGCTTTGGAATAAGAACGTTTCGTATTCGCGGTTCAGCATGTGTTTAACTTTTATTAATCATCGTTACAGTTTCAAGATAAATTTAAATTAGTCGTTTTGGTTACATGTAGGCCTAATTGTTTCTGTGTCCCTGTATGTCATGGTTGTGTTGGAGTTTAAATCTCTTATTTATACCCATGTATATGAAAATATTTTAAACTAATCGAGCTGTTCCATATGCAATTAAAAGCGACTGCAAAAATCTGCAGGAAGCTGTGAACATGGATGGATGGATTGTAGGCGTGCGTCTTCTCACACCAGATCGTGCTGGCCTACAGTAATGCACAAACAGACATGCCAAAACACTGACTGGGAGGGAACATTTACCTGGAGGGGTTAAGGGAATTATTCCATTAAAATGTTTATGCAAACGCACATATAATTTCCTTTCACGCACCACCTTAATATGAACGTGTCTTCTTTTAATATGTATTTATTTTGTGCAGGAGGGGAGAAGCAACCCAGCTATGAGTTTGTTTCCAGAAATTTAAATGTGCTTACGCACGCCGAGCGTTTATAACTACACGTTTGCAGCGCTTATAACTGTTTGTGTTAAACATTTGTTAAATTTCCAAATACTACAAGAACCTTTTACATCTGGAATTGACTTTGCGTAAATTTAAGGCGAAAATTTGCAAAGGGAATTACACAAACTCCTATTTCAAAATAGTGTTTATCGGTTTATAATTGCGAAGTGGACATTTTATAACACAAGTATCATATTTTATTGTTATATTACTAAGGACATACTCTGTTAAACTGTCAAAACGCGCCTGTTTCAGTACAATACAGGAGAGAAATTAGTTCGTCAGTGCCACTCGTTGTGCTTCGTACAAATTTATTTATCATTTTGGAATAGAGAATGATCTTAAATTCTGTAGAAACATCTGTTTAAATAGATTTCTCCAATTGCGATATATATCAACTTGTTACTGTCAAAGATATCACAAAAAATCTCACAAACCAAAAAGGAACAAGTTGACAAAACGTTCACAAGCTTCATGAAGAAAATTAAAATACACAGCTTACTATAAATATAACTCCCGCTTGCGAGCCGCAGTCTTTTGTAGACCTGAAACCTAAATTCATGAAAATAAAAATAACCAGCTCTACACAGATTTGGACATTGCCGGCACAAACCTTGAACATTCTACATTTTAATTGTAAACATGTACTTGTGATAGTGTACTTTTCCTCTTCATTGACTAGTCTTTCCGAAAGACGTTTTAATGAAACTGGCAACAAAATAAGTCCCCATTCTTCTTCTAGAGAAGACGCGAAATAAAAATCTCTGAAATACGAATTACTCATTTGGGCTCAGTACTGGCACGCATTCCAGGACGTTCCCTTACGGAGATTAAAGGGATTTCATGTGAGATGGGCATTTGTTTTTCTTTTGGAAAAACAAAGCAATACACAAAACCTCGGAATTCAATTCTAAATTCAGAGATCAAAACGTTCAAGTTTGCGACGCACTTCAAGGTTCAGTCTGTTCAAATGTGAGTGAGCGGTAGCGTTCCATTCACTCCAGTGCCGGTGCTTTGATAGTGCTGATGAACGCTGTGTAACCGACTGGTCTGAAGCGAAGAGTGATCCGATCCGTCTCCCCCGGGAGGAAGGTACATGCTTATCATATCCCGCAGGTCTCCCAAGCAGGCTCTTTGAGAATGAGACGTGATTGCCGGCGGGGGTGAACTTGGTTCACTCTTGCACACCGAAGCCATAGAACTCAAGCCCATAGCGCTGGTTGTCTGCGGTGTGTACGCCGGCGACATGCTGTAAGTTGAAGCTGCGTTCATGTAGGTCTGAGCGCTGGACATCATGGGGTATTGCAGCCCTGCCATCTCGTACCGGTGCATCTGCTGAATCTGTGGACTGTTCATACTAGGGTGCTGCGTGTAGCCAAGTTGGTCCTGCATGAGGGAATAGGCGCTATTGCTCCATCCATTCATGTGCGCGTAACTGTCCATCCTCTGTCCGACTGAGACAGAATTGTTAACGGCATTGGTACCTGGCGCCAGAAGTCCTCCTGGCAATGAGTATTTGTCTTTCTTAAGCAGGGTCTTGGTTTTTCTGCGGGGTCGGTATTTATAATCCGGATGCTCCTTCATGTGCATCGCCCGAAGTCGCTTGGCCTCGTCGATGAATGGTCGCTTCTCTGCGTCGGTCAAAAGTTTCCAGTCAGCACCCAGACGCTTGCTGATCTCCGAATTGTGCATTTTAGGATTCTCCTGTGCCATCTTTCTTCGTTGTCCGCGGGACCAGACCATAAAAGCGTTCATGGGCCGTTTCACCCGATCCTGGTCGCTGGCACCGTTCCCTTTACCGCTGTTACCCCCCGGCCCCGAATTGGGCTGCGGCAGTGGGCTTTTTATCTCTGTTTCCATCATGCTATACATTCAACTGCCTTTTTAGTCTTCAGTATCTTCGAAAAAAAATAATAAAATCAAAACAAAGCACTGTAAATGGAAGGCTAAGTAAACCGTTCAGTTCTATTAACTCTTAACTTTGAACTGTTCACTTACTTCTCGTCTCTTTACGTTTGCCGAACCTCTCTTACTCTCTCGGCTCTGGAACAGAACTGTGAAAACTTATTCTCCAACCTGAGCTCTTAATAGTAACCTCGAAAAGTGATTGACAGCATTACAACGAGCTGCAATTGGCCAATCACAGAGGAGCGTTCAATCCCCCATGGAAGCTAGTGAATGGGTTGGTAAGAGTTCTGTTTAGAGGTAAGTCGTTAAAATAAGAATTTCAAGTTACAAGTTAATTCATATTATTGTGAAATGTAATATAAGTAAAAGTTCTTTCAAATGTATACCTATGTTTACCTAATCTGACTGCGGCAGAACATGACATATACTAAATTCTTATTTTAATGTGGCGCTGTCATATTTGATAAATGTATAGCCTACTTATCTCACTAAGTGGAAGAAAACAATTAATACTATAACTGTAGAAGAAAACAATTTGCATGAATGGTGTAATAAGTAATTGGACCGTATTGACATCGCAATAAAGCGTGTTTCTTGGAGTTTGGATAATGATATACTGGACAAGTACATGTGACAAAAAAAATACACATAAGCTGTAATGTAAAAGCGAAAACAAGCTGATATTTCAGTGTAACAGCAATTATATATATTTTTTTACCAAATCTGACGAATTAATCCGTATAGTTTCTAGATGAAAATCGGTCACGTATCCATCGTATTGTTACAGAAACTGTATAACCATAATTTAAAATAAAAGTAATTCACTTCTAAAGGTAAGTTGCAAAAATATGCGTTTTTTCACCCCTTCTTCCAGTTAAACCTCACAAAGCTGTAGATTTGAGTTTGGTACGCATGAATAAGTTTGCCGAGGTGACAAGCGGGGTTGTGGGGAAATATCATTTTACAAGAAACAATGCGTCAATGCCCTCTTGCGGTCAAAGTAGTCTGCTTGCAGAAATTATTTAGGAACAGTGTAATTCTGATGTTTCGTCATATATTGGCTAGTTATTAAACGCCAAACCACTATTAACATTATTGGGTAAATCAAAACTTAACAATTCTATAAATAATACTTTGCGTTGAGTTACTTACTGCGGTCTTATTATGAGCAGGGGGATATTTTCAGTTGGAGTAGGACCAAAAGTAAAATTAAAATCAAATTGCTTTGAATATCAGAGTGATTCTCTCAGAAACGACTGCCTGGTTTTTACTAAATTACGATCACAGTTCTGATTCTGTTCGATTTAACGAAACATTAACACTTGTGACATACCCGTGAAACTTTTCACCTAAGTATTATACGTCAGTTTAACAGCAGAAAATGCATAAATGATTCACACATTCTCAATTTTAAGTACTAGTGTACAACAGGGATATTAAGTAACTGCATACGTTGAAGAGAACACAGAAAGGGGAGAATGCTCTATTTCCCACAGAAATCACTGGAAGTTTACCTCAGCAGTCCTCGTGCCTAAGCTGGCTCCTTGACAGCTGAATACTTGTATGCATTATTATCTGCTTCACGTGCATGTCGCTATAGACAAAAGCGCCTGCCAAATAAACATGTGGTCTTACTGCAAAACGAAGATCACAGCAAGACCGTATTGTCACAATAACTAAACTAATATCCTGTAAACCTTTCTTTAGTTTAAATGTCACATCGTAATACAATCAGTTAATTCAGTAACACTATTAATTAGTAGTTGTTTTATGCCAACTGGTTCCAAGAGGCCAATAATATGTTTATATTATTTTATAGATCGCTGAAACTGATCCCGTGTAATCTTCGTATCGAAATCAGACTCGGCAACGGAAAAAGACGTGCCTACTTGCTTCTGCATAAGACATACTTGTTCTCGCAGATGAGTTAATTAGTGGTGCTGTTAGACGACCAACAACTGACACAACTATTCATGCATTACAAGACATATATAGGGCCTGCTTTATTTTAACTGTATTTATTTAGTCTTGGTATATTTAAACTGGGTTTAAAAAGATTTTCATTAAAGAATTGCCTATTTTACATTAACTGAAAGGGATGCGTATTAGAATGGATGCATATACTGACAAGCATGTGAGAAAAGAATTTTAAACTACTAGATTCTGTTTTTAGTAATTTAAATTAAACATGATCATATAAAATAAGATACTTGAGTAAAAATTAGCCGACAAAAAAACGTATTACTGTTATGTGATACTTAAGCGAAATGCCGCTATTGATGAAGTTTTCAATGTCAGATTTTTTTACGACAATATAGTGGGTCATCGTTTCTGTTCATTGTTCCTGTTGCGAGTTTTAAATAGCAAGTATGAATCAGAGGGTCAGATCTTAAATTTAGATATTTTATATATATATGTTTGATATTTACATTTGATAGTTTTACATTTCGATGCATAAAACACGTGTCTCTATACTACCAGAGGCATATAATATCATAAAGCAACATAAGGCATTTTAAACTTGGGTTAAACCTTTGGAATGACTTATTTTTATTCCAACCTAATGACCAAGGCGAGGCCATGCGGTAGAAGTAATTAACACAGAATGGTTTTTCAATTACAACGACAAAGGAGACAGTCTCATTAAAATTTGCATGATTTTTGGATTCGTAATGCAAATGACCATGCGATTTGAATACGGTCTGCTTTTCCCATTGTCTCGCGCTGAATGGTGTCGTTCCCGTTCTATCGCAGGTAAAGGAATATTCACGGGCCATTAAAAAGAAAGACACCCAAGCCACATACGACTGTATTATTATAAAGCAAGACATTTTGTCAAGCTTTAAAATTAAGGTGTCGTTATGAAAACTAACTAGATGTCTCTAACTCGCTTTGCTAGTTGCAGCTTAAAAAACACTTGTCTAGTCCGATTATTTATACCGTTTCCTCCCGTTTTAATTTTATACCATTTTAGTTAAAAATAAAAAGTTCCCATAATTCTCATTATCTTTTCTTGATGAGAAACTCGCATTGAACTAAAATATAATGTAGCCCTAATATATCGGCAAGAATAAATGAAAACGAGCGATCAGTTTCTTACGGCCCTCTATGGTACGAGAGCATTAAAAACAGCAAAACTCATTCCGTGACGCTAGGATAAATCACATGATTGGGTAGCTAAATTAATTCGTCTTTTGTCAGTTCTTCTACTTGAATGATAGTTGTTGTACAAACAACTAGGGTGAAATGTGTAAGTTATACTAAGACAAAATACTTTAATAAGAAATCATACATTTTCTATATTGAATACGATCTTACGTAATAAAATGTATAATCTATAAACAGGAAACTAGTTTGTGGAGAAACACCTTAATTTATCTCGTAAACAGTGTAATTATAAATTTCATAAGAATAGTTTTTACAAGGCAACGAAGACAATGAAAACCGAAAAGTAGTGCAAGTTGTCCACTTTAAATTACAACGGTCACTGTCACAGACTAAGATTTTGAATAAAATTCAACCTTTCGATCTAAATAAAAAAGAAATTACTGAAAACTCTGCACCTAGCCTACTGTAAAAAACAAATGCAGTTAGAATTGAATTAAAGTGTTTAAAATTCACTTCTAAATAATTTGTCATTGTACAGTATAGCAATTAGTACTAAACATTGCTTACAATTTTAATAGGCTAATTAATACTTTGCGTAATTAATGAAATATTTATTAAATCAATTACTCATGCCCTAAATGTAATAATTGAAAATGTTACTGATTACATAACATTTGCTGACTGCAACATTATGTTTGCTGTGATGCTTTTTTTAATCTCCACAGGACACTGGAAGTGATGAGTGTGTTCAGTAAGTTTATCTGCGCGACTGCACGTTGCACAGGGAAAGGAAATCCCATCGTGTTGCCCGTTCTGGTTTGCAGACAGGCTATTTTAATGTTTGCGACAATGATGAGGCATCGTGATTTTAAAGATCATATTTAATTTTTTTTAAAACGTATTGCTTTTAAAAGGCTTTAGTCATTGGTGTGTTATAGGCTATACATACCTTTTGGAGAAATCATACTGTATAACAAACCATTTTTTAAAAAAATGTAAATTCGGAGCTTTTTCAAGGCGAGAAACTGAGCCCATCTTTTGTGGTCAATACTTCTAATTGCAGGTTAAAGTGAACTAAAGAAAATTCACAATGAATATACGGGTTCACATTGGCCGAGAAACGGATGTGTAAATTGAAGTACTGTACCTAACTTGTTTCAAAGGCAGAACACGACATCCACTTGCAAACCTGTCAAACACTCAATACATTTCTCCTAGCAGTTCTGTAATTCTATTCTATGTATGAGAACAATATAGGGAAAATACAGCGTAAGAAAAATTCACTGGTTTTGAACGACTGACAGATCGTATATTTTTATTGGCTCAATTACATAAATTAGACGATTCTCATATTAATGAGCTGCGGTCTCCGTATAGTTAGTCCTTAACACGGTCAACCGCTATACTTGTTAAACTTTGTTTCCAGTAAGCATCGACTGGCGATGAGTCGTTAAGTATCACTTTTTCTTGTTCTTAGTTACATTACAGAGAGATTAGGGGCCCTGGCGAGAATGCTGACATCCTGGCATAATCTATGTAGGCCTAAATCATATCCTTCTCAGACAATACGTGACCGCAATAGCCTATAGGCATTACGTTCTTACTATCTATCATATGCGTATCTACTCAACTCATATAGGCTTTAAACAATAATGTAAACGGTTATAAAAATCTCATTTATTTACTTCACAGGTACACTGGAACGTTTCCTCCCACGGTGTAAAGCCATATACACTTACAAGATTTTTTTGTACCTAAAATGCCCTTGAGGTGTGTCTGTGTCATTCGATGGACTGGCAACCTGTGCGTTGTTCCTAACGCTTCACCCACCACACCGAGTAAACTGGAGTCGTTGGATAGATCGATGGACCATAGCAGGCACATAGCCACGTACAGTAATATGACGGGTTGGAACCGCCACGCGATATTGCATTTGTTCCCGCAGAGTCACGTCACCTGGTAGTAAAAAAACGAGTTTGAACCCCGGTCGAAATTTGGTGGATCTCAATTCCGGCTACGGGCCTGGTTCATACCATTGAATCGTTTGTATGATTTATTTTATGTTCGTTTCTTATTCTACCCAAAGTTATTTT